GTTATTGTAGCTTATCACAAAGCACGGCACTGAAGATGCCAAGATGGGTAAACACACACCCCAAAAACACAAAGATTTGGTCCTAACCTTACTGTTAATTTTTGCTAAACTTATACATGCAAGTATCCGCATACCAGTGAAAACGCCCTAACATATCTAATCAGATAAAAGGAGCCGGTATCAGGCACACCATGACAGCCCAAGACACCTAGCTCTGCCACACCCCCAAGGGTATACTCAGCAGTAATAAAAATTAAGCAATAAGCACAAGCTTGACTTAGTTATAGCAAAGAGAGCTGGTCAACCTCGTGCCAGCCACCGCGGTTATACAAGAAGCCCAAACTAACAACCAATCGGCGTAAAATGTGGCTAAACAGCTCTATCAATAAAATTAAGATGAACCAAGTACCAAACTGTCATACGTAAAAGTACGGATTAACACACTATGAAAATAACCTTAATACAATGAAATAATTTGAACCCACGATCGCTAAGACACAAACTAGGATTAGATACCCTACTATGCTTAGCCCTAAACTTAGATATTTTCCACACAAAAATATCCGCCAGAGAACTACGAGCATAAACGCTTAAAACTCTAAGGACTTGGCGGTACCTCAAACCCTCCTAGAGGAGCCTGTTCTATAATCGATAATCCACGATCTACCTCACCATCCCTTGCCAAACCCGCCTATATACCACCGTCACCAGCTTACCCCATGAGGGCCACAAAAAGTAAGCAAAATAACCTAAACAGTTAATAAGTCAGGTCAAGGTGTAGCTAACTGAGATGGAAGAAATGGGCTACATTTTCTACTTTAGAAATAACCACGGAAGAATACCATGAAATAGGTTCCACAAGCAGGATTTAGCAGTAAACTGGGAACAGAGAGCCCAATTTAAGCCGGTCCTGAGGTACGCACACACCGCCCGTCACCCTCCTCAAACAATCTAACAACCATAAATTAAACCACAACAAACATAATAGATGAGGTAAGTCGTAACAAGGTAAGTACACCGGAAGGTGTACTTGGAACATCAAAACATAGCTTAATCAAAAGCATTCAGCTTACACCTGAAAGACGTCCATTAAACCGGACTATTTTGAGCAAAAATCTAGCCCAACCAACAAATATAAATTCAACAGAAAAAATAATCCTACCAACACCAAACTAAAACATTTTTTCCATCTCAGTATTAGGCGATAGAAAAGACTGTTGGAGCAATAAAGACAGTACCGCAAGGGAAAGATGAAAAACATGAAAGATCTGACTAAGCCCTAAAAAGCAAAGATTAACTCTTATACCTCTTGCATCATGATTTAACTAGTACACCCAAGCAAAGCGAACTAAAGTCTGAACCCCCGAAACCAAGTGAGCTACTTAAGGGCAGCCAACATCACCAGGCTTAAATCCGTCTCTGTGGCAAAAGAGTGGAAAGACCTATAAGTAGAGGTGAAAAGCCTAACGCACTTGGTGATAGCTGGTTGCTCAATAAAAGAATATAAGTTCAACCTTAAATATCCTAAAAACAATATAAAGTATTTAAGAGAAATTTAAGATATATTCAATTGAGGTACAGCTCAATTGAAAAAGGACACAACCTAAAACGGAGGACAAAACATTTAAACATTATTACCGTAGGCTTCAAAGCAGCCACCACTAAGGACAGCGTCAAAGCTCATCAACAACAGATATCAACACCAATTTTTTCCCCAAACAATATTGAGCTATTCTACCTAAATAGAAGAACTAATGTTAAAATAAGTAACAAGAAGACAAAACTTCTCTAACGCGCTAGCTTAAATCATAACAGATAAACTAATGATTATTAACAACTAATATTATAAAATCAACAATACTAAACATACCATATAAACTAAACTGTTAACCCAACACAGGAGCGCACACAAGAAAGATTAAAATTTGTAAAAGGAACTAGGCAAACAACTGAGCCCGACTGTTTACCAAAAACATAGCCTCTAGCAGCAACAAGTATTAGAGGTAATGCCTGCCCAGTGACACTGTTAAACGGCCGCGGTATCCTAACCGTGCAAAGGTAGCGTAATCACTTGTCTTTTAAATAAAGACTAGAATGAATGGCCAAACGAGGTTCCACCTGTCTCTTACAAACAATCAGTGAAATTGGTCTTCCCGTGCAAAAGCGGGAATAACACTATAAGACGAGAAGACCCTGTGGAACTTTAAATATAAATCAACTATTATATTTACCACCCTAAAGACTTATAATTAACTAGTTCTGATCCATATTTTTGGTTGGGGTGACCTCGGAGTAAAACAAAACCTCCGAAAAAAGAACATATTTTCTTAACCTAGATTTACAACTCAAAGTGCCAACGGCAAAATGATCCAATATATTTGATCAACGAACCAAGCTACCCCAGGGATAACAGCGCAATCCCATCCTAGAGTTCCTATCGACGATGGGGTTTACGACCTCGATGTTGGATCAGGACATCCTGATGGTGCAACCGCTATCAAGGGTTCGTTTGTTCAACGATTAATAGTCCTACGTGATCTGAGTTCAGACCGGAGTAATCCAGGTCGGTTTCTATCTATAAAATTTGAGCTTTTTCCAGTACGAAAGGACCGAAAAACCAAGGCCCATATTAAAAACAAGCCTTACCTTATATTAATGAAACCAACTTAACTAATAATAAGGACAAAACCATACATCACAAGCCCAAGAAAAGGGCAAAGTTCGGGTGGCAGAGCCAGGTAAAAATGCAGAAGGCCTAAACCCTTTATTCAGGGGTTCAACTCCCCTCCCAAACTATGAAAACCCTACTATCCAACCTAATATCACCACTCATATATATAGTCCCAATTCTAATTGCCGTTGCCTTCTTCACCTTAATTGAACGAAAAATCCTAGGATATATACAACTCCGAAAAGGCCCAAACATCGTTGGCCCCTATGGACTACTACAACCAGTAGCAGACGGCGTAAAACTATTTATTAAAGAACCAATTTACCCATCAAATTCATCAATCATATTATTCACAATATCCCCAATACTAGCCCTGCTACTAGCCCTGTCAATCTGACTCCCACTACCACTACCCTTCCCACTAGCTGATCTCAATTTAGGACTGCTATTCCTAATTTCCATATCCAGCTTTATAGTTTACTCCATTCTATGATCAGGCTGAGCCTCAAACTCCAAATACGCCCTAATAGGAGCCCTACGAGCAGTCGCCCAAACAATCTCATATGAAGTAACCCTAGGAATTATCCTACTCTCACTAACCCTATTTTCAGGTGGATTCAACATACAAACATTTATAACAACACAAGAACCAATATACCTAATATTCTCCTCCTGACCACTAATAATAATATGATATATCTCCACATTAGCAGAAACTAACCGAGCACCATTCGACCTTACCGAAGGAGAATCTGAACTAGTATCAGGATTTAACGTTGAATACGCCGCCGGACCATTCGCCCTATTCTTTCTAGCAGAATATGCCAACATCCTAATAATAAACACCCTAACCACCATTCTATTCCTAAATTCAACTTACACCAACAACCCCGAACTATTCTCCGTATTACTAATATCAAAAGTAATACTACTATCAGGAGGCTTCCTATGAATTCGAGCCTCCTATCCACGATTCCGATATGACCAATTAATACATCTCCTATGAAAAAACTTCCTCCCAATCACCCTTGCATTATGCCTATGACATACTTCCATACCAATCACCTTCTCAGGCCTACCACCTATACCCTAGGACACGTGCCTGAACAAAGGGTTACCTTGATAGGGTAAATAATAGAGGATAAAACCCTCTCGTCTCCTTAGAAAAATAGGACTTGAACCTACACCAGAGAGATCAAAACTCCCCATACTCCCATTATACTATATCCTAGTAAAGTCAGCTAATTAAGCTTTCGGGCCCATACCCCGAAAATGTCGGTTAAAATCCCTCCTATACTAATGAATCCCTACGCAAATACAATCATCATCTCAAGCCTAATTATAGGGCCCCTATTAACAATTTCCAGTAATCACTGAATCCTGGCATGAACTGGCCTAGAAATCAGCACGCTAGCCATTATTCCCCTAATCGCTAAACAACACCACCCACGAGCAACTGAAGCCGCCACTAAATACTTTCTAACACAAGCAACTGCCTCAACACTAATCCTATTTTCCAGCATTATTAATGCCTGAACACTAGGCCAATGAGACATTACACAAATATCCAACAATACCTCATGCACAATCCTCACTACAGCCTTAGCCATTAAACTAGGACTAGCTCCCTTCCACTTCTGGTTACCAGAAGTAATACAAGGAACCTCCACAATAACAGCCCTAATCTTAGCTACCTGACAAAAACTAGCCCCACTATCACTACTAACAATAACCGCCCAATCCCTAAACACACCACTACTATTAATACTAGGACTAACATCCGCTCTAATCGGAGGATGAAATGGACTAAATCAAACCCAACTACGAAAAATCATAGCATTCTCCTCCATCGCCCATCTAGGATGAATAGCTACAATCCTTACTCTATCCCCCAAACTTATACTACTTACATTTTACACCTACACCATCATAACCTCAACAATATTTTTAATAATAAAACTTCTAAAAACAAACAAAATCTCTATGATAATAACCTCATGAACAAAACTCCCAACCATAAACACCCTAATAATACTCACCCTTATATCACTCGCAGGCATACCACCACTAACAGGATTTATACCAAAATGACTAATCCTCCAAGAATTAACTAAACAACATATACTCATTATAGCCACTATAATAGCCATACTCTCACTCCTAACCCTATTCTTCTACCTACGAATTTCATACTATGCAACCATCACATTACCACCAAACTCAACCAACTATTCACAACAATGACGCCACAAAATAAACCAAAAACCCCCCTACCTAGCCCTATTAACCACACTATCAACCATTATACTTCCAATTATACCAACCTTATTAACCATCCCATAGAAACTTAGGATCAGACCTATTTTAAACCAGAGGCCTTCAAAGCCTCAAACAAGAGATAAAACCTCTTAGTTTCTGCTAAGACCTACAGGACTTTATCCCATATCTCATGAATGCAACTCAAACACTTTAATTAAGCTAAGGCCTTACTAGACAAATGGGCCTCGATCCCATAACAATTTAGTTAACAGCTAAATACCCAATCCAGCGGGCTTTTGCCTACTTTTCCCGCTCTATAAAAAGCGGGAAAACCCAGACACCAATAAAGGTGTATCTTCAAATTTGCAATTTAACATGAACTTCACTACAAGGTCTGATAGGAAGAGGAATTAAACCTCTGTAAAAGGGACTACAGCCCAACGCTAATACACTCAGCCACCCTACCTGTGTTTTTAACCCGTTGATTCTTTTCCACCAACCATAAAGACATCGGCACCCTATACCTAATCTTCGGGGCATGAGCAGGAATAGTAGGCACAGCACTCAGCCTATTAATCCGCGCAGAACTAAGCCAACCAGGTACTCTTCTAGGAGATGACCAAATTTACAACGTTATCGTCACAGCCCATGCTTTCATCATAATCTTCTTTATAGTTATACCAATCATAATCGGTGGCTTCGGAAACTGACTTGTTCCATTAATAATTGGAGCACCAGATATAGCATTCCCACGTATAAACAACATAAGCTTTTGACTCTTACCTCCTTCATTATTACTACTTCTAGCATCATCAGGAATTGAAGCAGGCGCAGGCACAGGCTGAACAGTGTACCCCCCATTAGCTGGAAACCTAGCCCACGCCGGTGCTTCTGTAGATCTAACCATCTTCTCCCTCCACCTAGCCGGTGTGTCTTCAATTTTAGGTGCTATCAACTTCATCACCACAGCAATCAACATAAAATCCCCTGCCATATCACAATACCAAACACCCTTATTCGTATGATCCGTACTAATTACAGCTGTCCTATTACTACTTTCTCTACCAGTACTCGCTGCAGGTATTACCATACTACTCACAGACCGAAATCTAAATACAACCTTCTTTGATCCTTCAGGGGGAGGAGATCCAATCCTATATCAACACCTATTCTGATTCTTTGGACACCCTGAAGTATACATCCTAATCCTCCCAGGATTCGGCATAATCTCCCACATTGTCACCTATTATGCCGGCAAAAAAGAACCATTCGGCTACATAGGAATAGTTTGAGCAATAATATCCATTGGTTTCCTAGGCTTCATTGTATGAGCTCACCACATATTCACCGTTGGAATAGACGTGGATACACGAGCTTACTTCACATCTGCAACAATAATCATTGCCATTCCAACAGGAGTAAAAGTATTCAGCTGATTAGCCACCCTACATGGTGGAATAATTAAATGAGATGCCGCCATACTCTGAGCCCTAGGCTTTATCTTTCTTTTCACTATTGGAGGATTAACAGGTATTGTATTAGCCAATTCATCATTAGACATTGTACTACACGATACCTACTACGTAGTAGCACATTTCCACTATGTTCTTTCAATAGGGGCCGTATTTGCTATCATAGCAGGATTCACTCATTGATTCCCCCTTTTCACAGGATATTCACTACACCAAACCTGAACAAAAGTACATTTCGGAGTAATATTTACAGGCGTTAACATAACCTTCTTCCCCCAACATTTCTTAGGACTAGCTGGAATACCACGACGCTACTCAGATTATCCAGATGCATACACCCTATGAAACTCCATCTCATCAATCGGATCTTTAATTTCTATAGTAGCAGTAGTTATAATAATATTTATTATTTGAGAAGCATTTTCCTCAAAACGAAAAGTATCAACAGTAGAACTCACAACCACCAACGTAGAATGACTACACGGCTGCCCTCCCCCATATCACACCTACGAAGAACCAGCCCATGTACAAACCCAAGAAAGGAGGGAATCGAACCCCCTTAAATTAGTTTCAAGCCAACCACATAGCCTCTATGTTTCCTTCTTTAAAGACGTTAGTAAAACATATTACCTAACCTTGTCAAGGTTAAATTATAGGTGAAATCCCTTTACGACTTAATGGCACATCCCCTTCAATTAGGATTCCAAGATGCAATATCACCAATTATAGAAGAACTCCTTCATTTCCACGACCACACTTTAATAATTGTATTCTTAATTAGCACCCTAGTACTCTATATCATCACACTAATAATAACAACAAAACTAACATACACCAACACTATAAATGCTCAAGAGGTAGAAATAATTTGAACCATTTTACCAGCTATTGTCTTAATTACTATTGCACTCCCATCGCTACGAGTACTATACCTAATAGACGAAATCAATAACCCACATTTAACCATCAAAGCCATAGGACATCAATGGTATTGAACATACGAATATACTGACTACGAAAACCTTGAATTCGACTCTTACATAATTCCAACCCAAGATCTACCAAACGGACACTTCCGATTACTAGAAGTAGATCACCGCATAGTAATACCAATAGAATCACCAATCCGAATATTAATCTCAGCTGAAGACGTCTTACACTCATGAGCAGTACCATCACTAGGCGTAAAAACAGATGCAATCCCAGGACGATTAAATCAAGCAACATTCATCATTACCCGACCAGGAGTATTCTTTGGACAATGTTCAGAAATTTGTGGAGCCAACCACAGCTTCATACCAATCGTAGTAGAATCCGTACCCTTATCACACTTTGAAGACTGATCTTCATTAATGCTTTCCTAACACTATAGAAGCTAAACAGGATAGCGCTAGCCTTTTAAGCTAGAAAAAGAGAACTCCCCACTCTCCTTAGTGACATGCCTCAACTAAACCCAAATCCGTGACTTATAATCTTACTCTCCGCATGACTAATTTACACCATTATTTTACAACCAAAAATCTCATCTTACTTACCTACAAATAACCCAACCAACAAAAACAATAAAACCAACACAAACCCCTGAACCTGACCATGAACCTAACATTCTTCGACCAATTCATAAGCCCACAAATCCTAGGAATCCCATTAACTACCCTAGCCCTACTAATACCATCAACCCTCTTCCCCACCCAAAACACCCGATGATTAACTAACCGTCTTTCAACACTCCAATCATGAACAATCAACTCATTCACAAAACAACTAATACTTCCAATTAATAAAACAGGCCACCAATGATCCATTATCCTAACATCATTAATAACCATACTATTAATAATCAATTTACTAGGCCTTCTACCATACACCTTCACCCCTACTACACAACTTTCCTTAAACATAGGACTAGCCATCCCAATATGACTAGCCACAGTACTCACAGGACTTCGAAATCAACCAACAACATCACTAGGACACCTATTACCAGAAGGCACCCCAATCCTATTAACCCCTATTCTCATTATCATTGAAACAATCAGCTTATTCATCCGACCATTAGCTTTAGGCGTACGACTCACAGCCAACCTAACAGCCGGACATCTACTAATTCAACTTACCTCAACCGCAGTACTAACCCTACTTCCAATAATACCTACTCTATCATTACTAACTATAGTTATTCTTTTATTACTAACAATTCTAGAATTAGCCGTAGCCATAATTCAAGCTTACGTATTTGTTCTTCTATTAAGCTTATATTTACAAGAAAACACTTAATGGCCCACCAAATACACGCCTACCACATAGTTGACCCAAGCCCATGACCACTAACAGGGGCAGCAGCAGCACTACTAATAACCTCAGGACTCGCCACATGATTCCACTACAACTCAACACTATTAATAACCCTAGGCTTACTAACTATACTTCTAACCATATTTCAATGATGACGAGATATCATCCGAGAAGGAACCTTCCAAGGACATCACACACCCCCAGTACAAAAAGGCTTACGATATGGTATAATCTTATTTATTACATCAGAAGTATTTTTCTTCATCGGATTTTTCTGAGCTTTTTACCATTCAAGTCTAGCCCCTACCCCAGAACTAGGAGGATGTTGACCACCTACAGGAATCACACCACTAAACCCATTTGAGGTCCCCTTATTAAACACAGCAGTATTATTAGCATCAGGAGTAACAATCACCTGAGCTCACCATAGCCTAATAGAAATAAACCGAAATCAAACCACCCAAGCCCTAACTATCACAATTTTACTAGGACTATATTTCACAGCATTACAAGCTATAGAATATTACGAAGCCCCATTCACAATCGCCGATGGAGTGTACGGCTCAACATTTTTTGTCGCAACAGGCTTTCACGGACTCCACGTAATTATTGGCTCAACATTCCTAATTGTTTGCTTACTACGACAAATTAAATTCCATTTTACCTCCACTCACCACTTCGGATTTGAAGCAGCCGCCTGATACTGACACTTCGTAGACGTTGTATGACTCTTCCTCTACGTTTCAATCTACTGATGAGGCTCATGCTCCCCTAGTATAACAGTACAAGTGACTTCCAATCACTAAGTTTTAGTTCAACCCTAAAGAAGAGCAATGAACGTAACAACATCCATCATCACAATAGCCTCCATTCTCTCCATAATCCTAATAATATTAAACTACCAATTAACATTAACAAAACCAGATAACGAAAAATTATCCCCATATGAATGTGGCTTTGACCCACTAGAATCAGCCCGTCTACCATTCTCAATTCGATTTTTCCTTAGTAGCCATCTTATTCCTGCTATTCGACTTAGAAATTGCACTACTCCTACCACTACCATGAGCCACCCAACTCCCATCTCCAACCTCAACCCTTACCTGAACCATTATTATTTTACTTCTCCTAACACTAGGCCTTATTTATGAATGAATCCAAGGAGGCTTAGAATGAGCAGAATAGGCAACTAGTCTAACACAAGACAACTAATTTCGACTTAGTTAATCATGATTAAACTTCATGGTTTCCCAATGACACCATTACACTTCAGCTATCACTCCGCCTTTATTATTAGCATTATAGGCCTCTCATTACACCGAACCCACTTAATCTCAACTCTACTATGTCTAGAAAGCATAATATTATCCCTATTCATTGCTCTAGCAATATGACCCACCCAATTACAAACCCCATCACTTATAATCACCCCAATACTAATACTATCCTTCTCAGCCTGTGAAGCTGGCATAGGCCTATCTTTATTAGTAGCATCCTCACGAACCCATGGTTCAGACCAACTACAAAACCTAAACCTTTTACAATGCTAAAAATCCTACTCCCTACAATTATATTATTACCAACAATCACACTATGTAAACCAAAACAACTATGACCTTCCACATTAATCCATAGCCTAACAATTGCTACTCTAAGCTTACAATGATTTAAACCTTCCATAGAACCAACCATAAACTTTTCTAATAGCTATCTAGGAATAGACCAAACCTCAGCCCCACTATTAATCCTATCATGCTGACTTACCCCTATAATAATCTTGGCTAGCCAAAACCACTTAGCTACCGAACCAACCTCACGAAAACGAACCTTCACCTTCACTATCATCTCACTACAAATTTCACTAATACTAGCTTTCTCAACCATAGAACTAATTATATTTTTTATTGCATTTGAAACTACACTTATCCCAACACTAATAATTATCACACGATGAGGCAACCAAATAGAACGACTAAATGCAGGAACTTACTTTCTATTTTATACCCTCATTGGATCTCTTCCACTACTAATCGCTCTACTATCCCTAAACACTGAAAACGGTTCCTCATCAATATACACAATACAACTAAATCAACCTATCATACCAAACTCATGAACCCATACAACATGATGATTCGCACTACTAATAGCTTTTATAATCAAAATACCACTATACGGTTTACACTTATGACTACCAAAAGCACATGTAGAAGCCCCAATTGCAGGCTCAATAATTCTAGCTGCAGTATTACTAAAACTAGGAGGATATGGTATCATCCGCATTACAATAATACTAAATCCCCTGTCAAAAACACTTTCCTACCCTTTTATGGTACTCGCATTATGAGGAGTAATCATAACTAGCTCTATCTGCTTACGACAAACAGATCTAAAATCACTAATTGCCTATTCATCAGTAAGCCATATAGGCCTTGTCATCGCCGCAACACTAACACAAACTCAATGAGCCTACACCGGCGCAATTACACTTATAATCGCTCATGGCTTAACATCATCAATACTTTTTTGCCTAGCTAATACAAATTACGAACGAACTCACAGCCGAACACTACTATTAGCCCGAAATATACAACTCCTACTCCCCCTAATAAGCCTATGATGACTACTTGCTAGTTTAACTAACATAGCCCTTCCACCAACCATTAACCTAATAGGAGAATTAACCATTATTACTTCACTATTTAACTGATCCAACATTACAATCCTAATAACAGGATTAGGAACCCTAATCACCGCTACTTACACCCTATACATATTATCTACAACACAATGAGGGGAAACACCTTCATACATCAAAACTATCCCCCCAACCCACACACGAGAACATCTCTTAATATCATTACACATCCTACCAATAATTCTACTAATAACAAAACCAGAACTAATCTGAGGCTCCTTCTACTGTTAATATAGTTTCAAAACAAACATTAGACTGTGGCTCTAAAAATAGGAGTTAAAATCTCCTTATAAACCGAGAGAGGTATAATACAATAAGAACTGCTAACTCCTATATCTGAGATTAATCCCTCAGCTCCCTCACTTTTAAAGGATAGAAGTAATCCACTGGTTTTAGGAACCACGAACCCTTGGTGCAATTCCAAGTAAAAGTAATGACCACACTAATAAATTCAACCTTCCTCTTAGCCCTAATCACCCTAATATTTCCACTAACAACAACTTACCCAAAAACATGAACACCTCTAAAAACAAAAACAGCTGTAAAAATAGCATTCTTCATCACCCTAATCCCACTAATCGCCTTCATTTATACAGACATTGAATCTGTTATCACCAACCTACACTGATCAACCACATCCACATTCACCATAAACATAAGCTTTAAACTTGACAAGTACTCCATCATGTTCGTCCCAATCGCCTTATACGTCACATGATCCATCCTAGAATTTACACACTGATACATAGCTACTGACCCTTATATCACAAAATTTTTCAAATACCTACTAATTTTCCTAGTAGCCATAATAATCCTAGTAACAGCCAACAACATATTTCAATTCTTTATTGGCTGAGAAGGAGTAGGAATCATATCCTTCCTCTTAATCGGATGATGATCCGGCCGAACAGAAGCAAACTCATCAGCCCTACAAGCCATTATTTACAACCGTATCGGAGACATCGGACTAATCCTCAGTATAGCCTGACTATCAATAAACCTAAACACATGAGAACTCCAACAAATCTTTACCCACACCAATCTCACCCCACTACTTCCACTCCTAGGATTAATCCTAGCCGCAACAGGAAAATCAGCCCAATTCGGCCTCCACCCCTGACTACCAGCAGCTATAGAAGGCCCCACCCCAGTTTCAGCATTACTACACTCAAGCACTATAGTAATCGCTGGAATCTTCCTACTAATCCGAATACACCCCATCTTAACCACCAACAACACAGCCCTCTCAACCTGCCTTTGCCTAGGAGCCATCACCACACTATTTACAGCTTTTTGCGCCCTCACCCAAAATGATATCAAAAAAATTATTGCCTTCTCCACATCAAGCCAACTAGGCCTTATAATAGTAACTATCGGCCTAAACCAACCACAACTAGCCTTCCTACATATCTCCATACACGCATTCTTCAAAGCCATACTATTCTTATGCTCAGGTTCCATTATTCATAATCTAAACAACGAACAAGATATTCGAAAAATAGGAGGACTACACAAATCCCTACCAATTACCTCCTCATGCCTAACTATTGGTAGCATAGCACTCACAGGCATACCATTTATAACTGGATTCTATTCTAAAGACATCATTATCGAAACCATAAATACATCATACATAAACGCCTGAGCCCTACTCCTAACACTAACCGCAACCTCATTCACTGCAATTTACAGCTTTCGCATCTTAATCTTCGTACAAACAGGACACCCACGATACCCCTCCACACTCCTACTAAACGAAAACAACCCAACAATTATCAACCCAATCACCCGCCTCGCAATAGGAAGCATCGTCGCAGGCTTACTCATTTCACTAAATATCACACCATTAAAAACTCCCCCAACAACTATACCAACATACATTAAAATCACGGCACTAACAGTAACAATCCTAGGCCTACTACTAGCCTTAGAACTAATCACAATAGTAAACAAAACCCAAAAACCCTCCAACACCCACAATTTCTCAAATTCACTAGCATACTTCAACACCCTAATACACCGTTCACTACCAATAGTGAACTTAAAATTTAGCCAAAACATCGCAACACATCTAATCGACCAGTCCTGATATGAAAACGTTGGCCCAAAAGGACTAAGCAAATCACAAATCACCCCAATTACAACTTCATCCGCGTCACAAAAAGGCCTCATTAAAATCTATATAACTTCATTCATCCTATCAATAACATTACTACTTCTCATCACCTAATCGGACGAAGTACCCCACGAGATAAACCACGAACCAACTCCATCACAACAAATAACGTCAACAATAACCCTCAACCAGCAATTAAAAACAACCAACTACCAAAATAATAAAACCATGCCACCCCACTAAAATCTAATCGAACAACAAACAACCCACCAGCATCAATTGTAACACTACCATACCCTTCCATACTCCACAGTCAATAACACATTGCCCCATACCCCACAAGAACTAAAATATAACTCACCACATAAATTATCCCACCTCGATTACCTCAAGCAACAGGATAAGGCTCTTCCACCAACGCAGATGAATAAGCAAAAATAACTAATATACCACCTAAATAAATTAAAAACAATACTACAGAAACAAAAGACCCCCCTATACTAACTAACAACCCACAACCAAAAGCCGCCCCAAGAACCAAACTTAAAACTCCATAATATGGGGACGGATTACAAGACACACCAACCATCCAAAAAACAAAACAAAACCCAAATAAAAATGCAAAATACATCATAATTCTTGCCTGGACTCTAACCAAGACCAATGATTTGAAAAACCACCGTTGTATTCAACTACAAAAACCTAATGGCCACAAACCTACGAAAAACCCACCCAATAATAAAAATCATCAACAATTCACTCATCGACTTACCAAGCCCCTCCAACATCTCTGCATGATGAAACTTCGGATCACTACTAGCCACCTGTCTAGCACTACAAATCATTACCGGAATCTTCCTAGCAATACATTACTCACCAGACATCTCCATAGCCTTTTCATCAATTACCCACATCACCCGAGATGTACAATACGGATGACTCATCCGCAACATGCACGCCAACGGAGCCTCCCTATTTTTCATCTGCATCTACCTCCACATCGGACGAGGAATCTACTACGGTTCCTATCTATACAAAGAAACCTGAAATACCGGAATCATCCTCTTACTACTAGTAATAGCCACCGCATTCGTAGGCTACGTCCTACCATGAGGGCAAATATCATTCTGAGGAGCTACCGTCATCACCAACCTACTATCAGCCATCCCATATATTGGTAACACATTAGTACAATGAATCTGAGGAGGATTCTCAGTAGACAACGCAACCCTAACTCGATTCTTCACCCTCCACTTCCTACTACCATTCGCCATTACCGGCCTTACAATAGTACATTTACTATTCCTACACGAAACAGGCTCAAACAACCCAACAGGACTAAACTCAAACACTGACAAAATCCCCTTCCACCCCTACTTCTCCTACAAAGACTTACTAGGACTTATCTTAATACTAACCTTTCTCCTAACCCTAACACTTTTCTCCCCATACCTACTAGGAGACCCAGACAACTTCACCCCAGCTAACCCCCTATCCACCCCTCCCCACATCAAACCAGAATGATACTTCCTATTCGCCTACGCAATCCTACGATCAATCCCAAACAAACTAGGCGGAGTACTAGCCCTACTATTCTCCATCCTAGTATTATTACTAATACCCACCTTACACACATCAAAACAACGAACAGCCTCATTCCGACCACTCACCCAAATCTTATTCTGATCCCTAGTAGCTGACCTACTAGTACTAACATGAATTGGAGGCCAACCAGTCGAAGATCCATTCATTACCATTGGTCAAATAGCCTCTAGCCTTTACTTCTTAATCTTACTTCTTCTAATACCCACAGCGGGCATAATCGAAAACAAAATACTAAAACTAAAATATTCTAGTAGCTTAACCCCAAAGCATTGGTCTTGTAAACCAAAGATTGAAAACTACAACTTTCCTAGAATAATCAAAAGAGAAGGGTTCAAACCTTCATCTCCGGTCCCCAAAACCGGAATCTTCCAATTAAACTACCCTTTGACGCAAAAGAAGCGCCAACATGTAAATTTACCTATATTCTCTGCCGTGCCCAACAGAATAATATCCATAATACCTATCTATGTATTATCGTACATCAACTTATTTACCACTAGCATATGATCAGTAATGTTGTCGATTAATCTGACCTTAAACATAAAAACTATTAATTTTGCATAAACTGTTTTAGTTACATGACTATTATACAGGTAATAGGAATGAAATGATATAGGACATAAAATTAAACCATTATTCTCAACCATGAATATCGTTACAGTAATAGGTTATTTCTTAGTTCAGCTCATCACGAGAAATAAGCAATCCTTGTTAGTAAGATACAATATTACCAGTTTCAAGTCCATTAAGTCATGTCGTACATAACTGATCTATTCTGGCCTCTGGTTGGTTTTTTCAGGCACATTAAGGCAGTAAAGTTCATTCGTTCCTCTTTAAAAGGCCTCTGGTTGCAAGTAAATGAGTTCTATACATTAAATTTATAACCTGGCATACGGTGGTTTTACTTGCATGTGGTAGTCTTTTTTTTCTCTTTGTGTTCTCAGGCCCACATAACTGATACCTGCCGAATTGATGAAACTGAGCCTACGTTCAAAATGATTGGCCGTGCAGAATACTTAATGGTATTATTTAATTAATGCTTTTAGGACATATATTTTTATAAAAACTCACAACAGTTATTTACAAGCTAAAACCCATTACAACCATACTTTTTAGTTAAACCCCCCCACCCCCATAAACTAACATTATGCCCGAATAGCTATTCACTTCTCGTCAAACCCCTAAATCCGAGACTAACTAAACTGACACAACATTAATCGCATAAGCATTACACAAACTAATGAAACACTTACACTATACCTAAAAAGTACTAAAAACAATTCATCACACCTCTACTACACCCAACTAACCAAACATTATATTATATTATATTATATTATATTATATTATATTATATTATATTATATTATATTATATTATATTATATTATATTATATTATATTATATTATATTATATTATATTATATTATATTATATTATATTATATTATATTATATTATATTATATTATATTATATTATATTATATTATATTATATTATATTATATTATATTATAT